GTACCTTGCAAATGTACCTTTGCGTATCACTGGAAATCAAGAAAATTTTATATAAAATCAAATGTCACACGAATGTAAAAAATGTTGGATGTAATTGTAAAATAATAAAGAATTAGGAAACAGAAACAGAAACAGACTTTGGAAAAGATGCTTCAAGTTCTTTACAGATGAAGGATGAGGTTCGTATTCAAGATACACATCCACACGACTGCTGTTAAAACAGCAGTTTTCACCTGCAACGTGCCAGTAAAAGAAAGTCATTTTTTTTATTTAAAAAAAAAAAGAAAATTAGAAAAATGATCCTTGAGCTTTCTGATTTTGATCATGTTTAGTTCAAAATTGAAGCGTTTTTCAATGTTGGTCCTATTTTTTAAGGTTTCATATCGAATTTGATCCATGGAATCTTGGATTGAGAATGACAACCAAATCAGAAAGTCCCAGGGACTAACATCGACAGGAAACCTTAGAATAAGGATCAAAATGGAAAAAGATACTGATTTTGGATGTAACATGGTAAAAACCACAAAGCATGGGGTCCATTTTTGTACTTCATACTTGACTTACAAAAATGATCTCTGTGCTTTATGAATTTTACCTCAAGAATTGAAACATTTATCAATTTTGGTCCTTGTTTTAAGGTTTCATAACAACTTTGGTCCCTAAAACCTTGTACCAAAATCCATATGAATCCTTGAAATAAGGACCAAATCCATAGAAAATCTTAAAATAAGGACCAAAATTCAAAAAGGTTCCAGTTTTAGAGTTTAGACTAAACATGGTGAAAACATGAAAGCAAAGAGACCATTTTTGTAACTTACTCTTATATTCTCTTATTTTACAAAACGCTACCTTTGCTTTCTTATTTTTGTAACCATGGTTCAGAACTGAAACCTTTTTTCAATTTTCATCCTTAATATAAGATTTCATATCGACTTTGGTCCATGGAACCTTGAAATAAGAACCAAAATCAATAAGAATCCTTAAATAAATGGACCAAAATTAGAGAGTCCCACCGACCAAAACTGAAAAAAAGGTTTCAGTTTTGGACTACACACATGATAAAAATCAGAAAGCACAGGGACCATTTTTGTAATTTACTCAAAACATCAGCAACATAGCTAAACTAGTTGGCCAATTTAGTAAATTAGAAACCAAATTAGTGAAAGAATAACCTGTAATGGATGCTAACATATCACTGCAATCTAAATGCCCATCACAAGCAGACTCTATCATGTTTGTGAGAATGTCACTGAATACAAACAGTGTAGATAGATAGATATATATCATCCTTTTATTGATTTAGACACTCAAATATTCAGAAAAAAGAAAATGGAAAATGAATAAATAATTAACCTCTTCAAGTTCAGTTGATGCATTCCAAGTAACCCAAGTGCCTGTGAAGAAAACTTTTACGTATGAATTTTTTTTTTAAATTGAATGAATTTGAATAATAAAAAAGAGACCTCGTCAAGATACATATGAACAAGATTAAGAACGAGTTTAGATGTGATGTGATCCAAATATGATATAGGAGAAAGAAGAGCAGC